TCTTCACCGGACTGGACACGACATTTTGTTTAATAGTTTGCTCATGTGGACTCGTTCACCCCAGGAGTCAAGATTGATTCCCATGGCCAGCCAGGTGGTGTTTCACTCTTCAGACCCTGGGGTGTCCAGTTGAGCCACTTGAATGAGATCCTAAGTACATGTCTGTAATCGATGTAAGCAATTTTTACATAATCTATATTGTCATTAGCTGACTGTGTGAACTGTAAAGGTAATAGAACAATTATACAGATCACCTTAATTGGCTGTTGCACCACCTTATAATGCTTGCTTGTTTTCTGTAATATCTTATTGTGTAGTGTCCATAATGATTTTAAGCACTGGAGTAACAAACTATAAATTAACAACAAAAATTTGTGTGGGACTACATAACATAGCATCCTTCAGACAATCTGCATGAGATGTCTCCAAATAATTATAATAAATTTGTGGATATCTTTCTACTAAGCGTTTTATAAAATATTTTAGAAGTATATTAACATACTTCTATTGTTATATCAGATACGTGCACTTTTTGGGTGAGTTAAACCTCTCACATTATGTAACGCATCAGAGGTGTGCTGTTTCTGATGTAACTCAACGCTGACAGCATGTAGGTAATTGATGAATGTGTGTTGCCCTTTGTAATTTTTTTTTTTTAAATAATCAGAAGTCAAATCTTAAAAGCAAAAAGTTTGCAAGCTTGTTCATACCCAGAAAGAGGTGATTTGATACACTGGTCACTCCTCTAAATTGGATCAGCTGCACAAACCAACAGAAAATTCACACTAAGCATGCCAAATATCTTTTATTTTGTAGAAGGAGAAACATTTGCCAGTCTGTGACGCGAGTTGCTTTCTTAAAGGGGAATTATTATCAACCAGTGAAGCACATAGTAATTGATGAGGCCCAGAATTTCCGGTCAGAGGGCGATTGGTACAGCAAAGCTCAGTGCATCACCCAAGGACATGGTCATTGTGAACCTGGTGTTCTCTGGATCTTCTTGGACTATTTACAAACAAGTCACCCATTTCCATGCGGTCTTCCACATCCATCCGAACAATATCCTCAGGAGTGGCTAACTATAGGGGTCCGGAATGCCACCCAGATATACAATACCATGGTACAAGAGATGCAAAATATTGTAGAATATTCACAAATTGATATTCCTTTTGAGCGGTTAAGAATGCTGCTAAATGAAGCTGTATGTGGCCATCCCCTGCCAGGTGTTTGTAGGGTAGAAGAAAACTTGAAGGAGGATGAAATAGCGACATATGTGGTTGCTACCTGTTGCCAATATTTACGAAGTGGTTATTCTGGGAAAGACATTGCTATCCTGTGCAGCACAACGAAAGAGAAGGCCAGGTATCATTGCATATTACAACCCCGAATGAGAGCGATGATGAGACATTTCGGACTAGATGCAGTTTTCACAACGGCAGACAACGTGCTGGGACAGGGCATTGTTCTCGACAGCATACGCCGCTTTTCTGGCCTGGAAAGAAACATTGTGTTTGGTATCAACCCAGTCCCTGTCCCTACACAGGAGGAGATTTCTGAAAATCTTAAACTCTGTGTGGCATCCAGAGCTAATTTACAACTTCATTTGCTGTATGAAAGGTAATGCTTGAAAATATCATGGTGGTTCACTCAGGATCTGTTTAATAACCAGTGATAGTCATGTCGCTTTTGTGGTTTTTCACCCACAATTCAGACATAAATACAAATCTGACCATGGGCGAAATTTTACCTTAGAGGGCTCCCGTCTCCCAGGCTAATGAACTACGTGAGGCCTGGGGTCTTAAAAAGCCAGTCCCGAATATAAACCAAAGGAGCTACATGGGATATAGTGAGAATGGTCCACTTGAAGCTAATCAGTCCTCCCTGCTAC